TTCTTGTACCACAATGTGCAGTGCATGATAAATTTTTCTTTTTTGACATTTTACAAACATCACGTTTTTGAAACAGCAGTTTCGAGGCATTCAGAAAATTTGCATATGTTGATCAAAAATAGTCTTTTTTTGAGCTTGTTTTAATTTTACATTATAGAAAAATAAATGACACGTCACAGCCCAGACTTCTGAACTTTAAAAAATTCCTTTTTTCCAGATGCAATGAGCAACATACGCTAAATTATTGTCGTTTACCCAATTTGAGGAAATTATATAGCTCTTAAGTCATAATACTTGGTTGAAGCCCCCTCACCCTCACTTTGCACCACAAGAAAGAGCACTCTGAATTGTACAAAAAAAGATTGCGTCAGCCATTTGTCTTGTTTGAACAAACATAGAAACCATCGAAGGTGCGTTAGAAAGTTGGGCATACTGAAGCCTTACAGTATTATTAGTTCAAGTTTTCATATTTAAATTTGAGATCAAACATCCTTGTACATTCTTGTAGAGAATGGAACGCGGACTCCTTTGCAAAAACGTTCAAGTGTAAGCAATGAAAATTAAAAGAGCTATTGACGAAATACTAAGACCGCCAGTTTCCCTGGAACACCCGCTATTCGTGTAAATATCAAAAGTGCTGGTTATCGTACACCTTGATTGTATGACGGAGAACCTCAACTAGCTTTTTCCAAGAATGCGATGGACCACTAAATGATTCTATTGTTTTACGTCTAGGTCGAGATAATGCAAATGCATTAATATGGAAATAAGGATTTTTGCAACTAAAATACTCTTTTCTGTTTTGAATACGAAAAATGGGTTTTTGTTTAGCTGGAAAAAGAAATTTAATTTTGAATACTGGCTAAAGATTGTTGCGCAATACATAAATTGAATTACTTACTTTAATAAATATGTATAAGCTTGCTATGTGTTTAAAAAATTTTAGCGTACTTTATTGTAATTCTACACTTGATTCAACTATCATATCCGCATTGCAATCAAACGTCGATGTTGTATTTGTGGAGGTTCCGATGGTCATTGTTACACTTTATATTCCAGCTATTTAATGTACAGTACGCAATAGCAACTTGGCCGTCATCAAACTCTAAGATACAACTACTAGGCCTTTTTCACGACATAGCAAATGCATCGGAACCTACTGAGCTGACCGTTCATTCACGCGCTATGTTTAAAGCAGCAGTAGTGCTTTCTCAGCAATATAATATGACAGTACAAGGACAATTCATTGGATGGCAATCAACAGAAACTGGTGGTGACGCAATAGGTGCTCTCGGCAATACGTGCTTAATAATGTCGACTTCAAACATCGTCGGCATTGTGGGTCCAGAATTATCAAGGGAAGCTGAGACTATTGCTTCTTTTGCTAAAACAGTTGGTATTCCTGCAATATCATATGCTGCAACCGCTCCTGATCTATCTAGTAGAAGTACATACCCCGCATTTTATCGCACAGTTCCTTCGGATACTATGGCCGCATCATCAATTGTAAAACTGTTCAACCGGTTTAATTGGACATCATGCATAATTATCTATCAAAAGGATGAATATGGAACGGGTGCCATGAACGCAATAAACGAGGCATTTAATGACAATGGATTGTTAGTCAGGGATATATTTGCGTTTGATATTGTGACACTCACTTATTCGAGTGACATAATAAGTGGTTTAACCAGTGATGCTGCACGAATTGTAATACTATGGACAGAGACAACATATACATCTTTAATTTTACAATACGCACTTGATAATGATCTGCTTGGTCCACAATTCGTATGGATATTAAGCTCAAGTGTTTCGATGGATTCGTTTAACCAAACATCGTATCAAAACTTAATTGGAATGCTTACTGTAGAACCGGTAGTAGGAAGTGTTGTCAATGCTCTAGTAAATACAACGTTGTTAAATGCAGCATTTAATATCTGGCAGCAGTATGAGCTAGAGTCGTTTCCTGGACCGACGAAAGTGAATGACTATGGTCTGTTTGCATTTGATGCGGCTTGGGCTTTGATCCAATCATTGCAACAACTTTGCTCAACAACTACTAATAGTTCTTCCTCATGTATACCAGTTGTCAACAGTTCATTCTGTTTTGATCGTCGTTTTCTCAACGCTGACTCTTTTTTTAACATACTCACTAATACTGAATTCCTTGGTGTATCTGGTCCTATACAGTTTAGTGTCAATGTAACAGATCGAATAAGTGGTACTTATTATATTGTGCAAAACGTTCAGCCTTCTGCAAATGGCGTGGATTTCATACCAGTATTGAAATGGTCTGGTTCCGGCGAATGGGACCCGTATACACTAAGCAATGTAATTGTGTGGCCTGGTAATTCATTAACAACTCCTAGTGGTAAAGCAGTACTTTCAGGTGTAACCTTACGAATTGGTGTAATTGTGGCAGCTCCATTCATAATGGCTACAAATGTGACAGATGAATATGGAAATACCACGATACAGGTGACTGGCTATTGCAAAGATCTTATTGATCTTTTACAAAATGCAATGGGATTTACGCCTGAAATAATAGTAGCGCCATTAAATCAGACCTATTCAGGGTTAATCATA